AAGGTCTTTGGGGCAATAACATGCATGGAGCTGTCATCTCCTGTGATGATGATGCCATCTTCTAGAATACCACCTGAAGGACCTGCCTGGGGCTGTTTTAGAGTTAACTTGCTTTCTGTGAGTAGAAGGAACACACTCTAAAATAACAACACATTAGTATATTAACTACATAAACTAGTAACATCTTCTTTTATTATCATTATCAAGTATTATGTACTGTACATAATTGTATGTGCTATACTTTTATATGGCTGACAGTGCAGTAGGTTTGTTTACACCACCATTACCATGAACATGTGAGTCATGTGTTGTCCTGTGATGTTAGGATGTTTACAATGTCCATAGGAGATGGAAATTTTCAGCTCCATTATAACCTCCTGGAACCACCATTGATATGTGATCCATCATTGATTGAAATATCCTTATATGGTGCATGACTACATATAAAGAGCTCATGTAACTCAACAATAAAAAACAAACAATCCAATTTATTTTTATTTTTTTCAGAGGCAGGGTCTCATCATGTTGCCCAGTGGTTGGGGAGGCCAAAGTAGGAGGATCGCTTGAGACCAGGGGTTCTCCCCGAACACTGGAATTATAGGAGTGAGCTACCACACCAGGCCCAAACAACCCAACTTAAATATGAGTAAAGAACTTGAATAGACATTTATCCAAGAAGATACACAAATGGCTAATAAGAACACGAAAAGATGTTCAGCATCACTAGTCATTAGGTAATGCAATTCAAAACCACAATGAAATACTACTTCATGCCCGTTAGAATAGCTATTACCAAAAAAATGGAAAATAAGTGTTGAGCATGTGAAAAACTTAGAACCCTTATATATTGCCAGTGGGAATGCAAAACGGTGCAGCTGCTGTGAAAAACAGTAGGTGGTACCTCAAAAAGTTAAGCATAGATTTACCGTATGATCCAACAATTCCACTTTTAAGTAGTATATACTATGCAAAATAATAGGAAACAGAGACTTGAACAAATCTTTGTTCACCCACGTTTACAGCAACATTATTCACAATAGCCAAAATATAGAAACTACCCAAGTGTCCACCAACAGATTAACGGATAAACAAAATACGGTCTCTCCATGCAAAAGACTATTATTGATCTATAAAAAGCAATGGAGTTCTGATAATTGCTACAAATTGCATGAACCTTGAGAACATTACGCTAAATGAAAGAAGCCAGACACAGAAACACAAATATTATATGATTCCACCTTTATGAAGTACTTAGAAGAAGCAAATCCATAGAAACAGAACTAGAATGGTGATTGCAGGGGGCAGAGGGAAATGGGGAGTTAATGGGCACAGAGTTTCAGTTTGGGATGATGAAAAAGTTCTGGAGAGGGTAGCGGTGATGGCTGCAAGACGATACGAACATACTTAATGCCACCAAATTGTGTACTTACATGGTTAAAATGGTAAAATTTTTTAACCATGGAAGTTTCAATATTACGTGTATTTTATTGCCAAAGAAGCTTTTAAACAATCAAGAGGAAATGTTTTAAGTTAGTTAAGTGCCAACTAGGTGCGAAGTCCTAAGCAACGCACCAGGAATACAGTGAGGAGCAGAGTGCCCAGCTCCTCAATAAAGAGATAATTTATTGAATTAATGAATGAAATATTTTAGGCTCTGTCTATATATAAAACAACAGATGTCAACAGGCTATTTTTACAATGCTTTTTTCAGGGGTTTTAATACCCAAAGAAGCAAATTTAGTAAGGGTAGAATTAGAAAGAGTTTAGATATTCATTCCGTTACAAGATCAAAAGCACTTTTTTGCTGCTCTTGCTGTCATTTTTTATTTTTGTGTTTCACTATTATGTTTTAAATAAGGACAAAGATGTTGAGAAAAAGAAAAAGACACAATGTTCTTTTCAACTATTTTCAGAAAACCTCATGGTTTTTGAAGAAGAGATGAGTGGAAATAGCTGAGAGTGTCTTTCCCAACAGGACCAAAAGGATGAATTGTATAATGTCCATGAAGCATCTTGATCTCCACAAGCAACTTCGCGGATCCACTACAGGGAAGCCGACAGCCTACTTTCTTTTCAACTTCTGTCGGCTCTCCCCAGTTTCTCTGGTGATTTATCCTCTCCACATTCTCTATCAGTAAGATTCAGGAGAAAATTTAGTTTGAGGTTTGAATTCAGAATCAGGCAAAATGAGATTCAAAAACTAGAGCTGCCTTCCCTTCTTTGTACTCCATCACCAGTAAAAACCTTCAAACCAAAAATGCTTCATTTCTTTTTTGCCCTTTAGCCCCATAGCCACCAAAAAGGTACGGGAGATCCACGGGGATGGTGGCATTGGGGCCTGGGCAGCTCTGTTCTTGTAGTCATTTGCACATGGCTTTGATGGCGTTTTCCCTTCCCTGTAGCTTAGACAAATAGACTTGGAGCAAGGAGGTAAAAAAGAAATCTGGTAAGTTTCTCTATCCGTCTTGTACTGATCTTCATGACAAAAGAAAAATTGTGTGTGGTTGTTTTTGCTCTTATCTGAAGCATGGTGGCTCCCTCAGACAAAATGCATTCCCATACACAAAAATTAAATATATATATACACACACACACACACACATATATATACACACACACTTCTGCCAAAGACCCTAGATTATGTGTTGTATGGTTTATACTCCATCCTTCTACCCTAGACCCATGCCCTCATGCTGATAATCTAATTTATTTAGCTTTATTTATTTAGCTGATAATCTAGTTTATTTAGCTTAATATATGTGAAAAATACAAATCCATAATTAAAGTTTTGATGTTGCTCTAAGTGATCAAGAACTTGGCCTCTTGGTGAATTGAATTTAATGGGTCAGTTCAGAGTTTGAGGATCTGCTTTCTTTGTCTTTCCAATATCATTGTTGGCAAATTGAGGCCAAAGTATTAGAGCTAAAAATGTATAATTCCAAAGTCTAGTTCCTAAAAGAAATACACTCAGAAGTGAGAGGGAAAAAAAGAAAACAATGCCAGAATTCCTGACTGAATTCTATTTCTAAAAGAGTATGTGTAGAGTCTATTTTAAGAATGAGACTTTTTATTTTAAGAATGAAGCCTTTAAATAAGTGGAAACTCAGTACAGAATCTGACACAAATTAGGTAATGTATGAATGTTTTTATTCATTAATATGTATAATAGCAATACAATATACACCATTCCTCAGTGCTTTTTACATTAATCAGAAGATAATTGCCTAAAACACACTAAAACTTCATTTTATTTTTATCCACTTGGTGCATACACGAGGCAAATGTATAAACATAAAACAATGCAGATGTATCAAAGATCACTCATTTATAGGCAAAATTGGTTGCCACTCACAAAGTAGAAATTGGGAGGGGTATGAGGTTTTTCCTGCCACTATCAAAATAGCAAATCCCCACTGTCTAGCATTTTGCTCATTTCTTTGTCTTTACATTTGAAGACCTTCCCTGCCTTTAAGCACAGAAGAAGCCCAGGAAGGGGCGGTTTCTTAAGCTCATTAACACAGTCTGGCATATGGTAGGAGGTTAATGGAAACATGCTGACCCCTTAAGAAAGAGTAGTTGATGATCATTTTGATGAAGGGACAAATAGCGTATACCTGTGTCTACCTGAGAAAGGTCACACTTTATGGAAGGAAAAGTGCACCAATGAAAAAGTGGGCATCACCAAAAACACATTTCCCTAATTTTGCCACTTTGCCAAGAATCAGTCCTAAGCCACCATCAAAGTCATGCACCTGCCAGCTTTCTCTAACATAACATGTGTCCTAGAATGAAGCACACAGTATTGCACGGAAATCAAATGCCATGCACTGGGATGTACCAGCTCTTGTTTCATAGACAAAGTGGTTCTATTTCCCTCCAACTCTACTACCACCAGCCTCCTTTCCACTCATCACACTGCAGCCAAAGGAATCTTTTAAAAATTCGTATCTGACCATTTCACACTCTACTTTTGAAATAAAGTTCACAAGTCCCTAAGCAAATCCGCAAGGCTCTGTAACACAGTTTCTCTGGAATTCACCAGTTGCATCTCACCCTAAGACCCACTCCCTCATGCTACAGCCAATCCCACTTCCTCAAGGCATCCCATTTCACAGGCCTTTGAATTTGCAACTCTTTCTGTCTAGAAGAGTCTTCACAACCCATGACTATGGTATACTTATTCTCAAAGCCTCTGCTTAAATGTTAATTTCTCTCAGAAGCCTTTTCTGATCACACCAAACTAGGTTGGCACCCAATTACACAGCCTAATAACACCCTGTGCTTCTTCTTTGGTTTCACTTTGCAAAATTGTAAAAAATAATTAATTAATTAATTAACCATGCAATGGTTGAATATCTGTCTATGTCCCAAGTTCTAATCTCCATGCTGAAGGAACCATATCTATCTTATTTATTACTCTAAACTTAATATTCGATACATAGTAGATATAATATATACTTAATATATTCTAAACTTAATATTTGATACATAGTAGATAGATTATATTTGCTGAATTGATGAATAAAATTGTGAAGTCTCCATGGAGATATTTCCCAGGTAATATTTCTAGCAGATGAGGAAGTCATTAAAAAGTGGCAGTCAGATTCATTGTTATCTGTCTTCTGACAATAGAGTAAATGTCCTAGAGGAGATGAAAGTAGATAATGGTTTTCATTATTGGAGAATAGGAAATAACTTGAGTTAATTGAGGCAGATGGTCCATGAACAATGCTTCAGAAATAAAATAGAGCTTCTGACCTTTGGTGATCAAGAAATATTACAAAGTTATATATGGGACTCACTTCAGCCCTACATCAAGATCAAATTGTTTCCAATAATTAATGCAAATCATTACATCCTTCTTTTTTCCACAGTGTCTGAGTCCTCTATGCCATCTTGGGAAGCAGGCTAACACACCTCCTTTTTTCCATGACAAATCCTAAACTGGGTATGACTGAATGTTAAGAAAAGTTTTCTTTCATCAAGGCTGATATCCACACTACAATCCACAATCAAAAATGTGACTGCCCCTTACTAGGTAAACAATGAGTTACAGTTTTGTAATCATGTTAGGCACAAAAATGATCTTAATAGAAAAAAATCCAAATAGCTGAGAAAATGCTCCACAATATGCAGGATGATAAGAAAAAAAATCCATATTTTATAGCATGTTACTATTTACAAAGCCTTTTGGCATTCCCTCTCTCTTGATCCTGGCTGAAGATCTCTTGACCTTTACCCATAACAAGGCAGAAATTCTACTGACGAGAAAACTGAAGTGGATCATTTCTGGCGCTAGGTCATAGAGCCAATAAAGAAAGTACTGGAACCCAGATCTAACTTTTTCTCCCTCAATATGTCTTTGTAATTATGAGATCTGATTCATGTGTTAAGAGGACGAGACAAAAGCCCAGAGTAAGATTTGCAGAAACTTCTGGATTGACGGAGCTCAAGAGTTACTCTGTTTGGGAAACCCTCATCCTATTGAAAACTTTCTTCAGAGCCTCCTTCACGTCTTTGTTTCTCAGGCTGTAGATCATTGGATTTAGCATGGGGATGACTACAGTGTAAAATATTGACACAATCTTGTCTTCCTCAAGCGATTTGCCCATGTCGCCTTTCCGGTATATGAATATGAGTGTTCCAAAGAAAAGAGTCACTGCAGTCATGTGAGAAGCACAGGTGGAGAAGGTCTTGGCTTTGCCACCTGCTGTACGAATCTTCAGAATAGCCTGAATGATGAACAAGTATGACGTAAGAATCACTGAAATGCTGGTTGTGATCACCAGAAAAGCTAAGAGGTAGATTACCCATTCCCATGGCCTGGTTTCACTACAGGCAAGCTTCAGCAGGGGTGGGAGGTCACAGAAAAAGAAGTCTACATGGTTGGACTTACAGAAGTAGATAGAGAAGGTGCAGCCAGTGCGGATCACAGAATTGACTATGGCACCAGCATATGCCCCAGCCACCAGCCCCAAGTGGGTCTGTGGTGTCATGGCTATGGCATAGAGGAGAGGGTTACACACAGCCATGTAGCGGTCATAAGCCATCACAGCCAAAAGGAAATACTCAGTGCTAGCACAGAGTGTGAAAAAGAAGAATTGGCTGGCACAGCGCTCATAGATGATGACCATCTTATCAGTTCCCAAAGTCTCAAGAAACTGAGGAACAATAACAGAAGAGTAGCAAATGTCCAGGAAGGAAAGATGACTGAGGAAGAAGTACATGGGAGTCTGGAGCCGAGGGTCAGTCTGAATTAGCACAATCATGCCCAGGTTGCCCACCATGGTGATGAGAAAAACGACCAGAAACACAAAGAAAAGACCTATCTGCAGCTCTGCCTGCAACCAGAACCCCATCAGAACAAATTCTGTCACCATGGTGCCATTCTCTGCCATGAAGCCAATGTTATCCACTGAAATTAAAAAATAATCATAATAACGTCTCATCGAAGATAAATTAAGGCAGTAGTGGCTTGACTTGATCATTGCTCAGTAATTATAATAATCTTTTAGATTTGTAAAGCACTTTACTTTTTCACAAACTTTATTTTACTTGATCCTTCAGAAATCCTTCGAAGCACATATTGTTTTTATTTTTGTTTTATTTTATTTGTTAAGTTCCGGGCTACATGTGCAGGATGTGCCAGCTTGTTACATAGGTAAATGTGTGCCATGGTGGTTTGCTGCACCTATCAATCCATCACCTAGGTATTAAGCCCAGCATACAGTAGCATTTTTTCCTAATGCCCTCCTCACCTCTCGCCCTCCCCCAACAGGCCCCAGTATGTGTTATTCCCCTCCCTGTGTCCATGTGTTCTCCTTGTTCAGCTCCCACTTATAAGTAAAAACATGCAGTGTTTGGTTTTCTGTTCCTGTGCGAAACACATATTGTTAATCCCATTTTTGACAGAAGAATATGAGGGTCAAAAAAGTGAAGTGACCCAGATTTCACAATTGGTAAATAGGCAAAGCCTAGGTTAGACCTCAATTCCTGAGGCACTTCCAAAGCTTCTGACAGGTCCCACATTGGAAACCTTAATCAGCCTCGTGTGGAGGAAGAAAGCACTTCGTTGAAGAAACCCTAGTGGTGTAGTCTAAAAGACACGGGCTTTGAAATAAGGTGTAGGTTTGAATACCTTCAGACCTTGAGCAAGTTAAGTAGCCTTTCTGAACTTCAGCCTCCTTCTTTGTTAAATGAGGATTACAATGCCCAAATTATATTATTATTGTGAAGGATATAATTTACATAGTATGTTAACATGGTCTGACACACATTTAGAATTATTTTTTCTAAATTTTGAGATAATATGAGTGGCATGCTCTTAGGTTCATGTACATTCTAGAAACAAGTCCACAGCCACCTGGAGTTCCAGCATCAACTCCACCTTTCTTTAGGGTTGTTTCTGATGTGCATATATGCACAATGGATTTGTATGCTAGACAGTGAGTCATAAAGAACAAGTACTGTCAGGACCTCTATAGCCCATTGCCTGCCAAGTCGCCTCTTCCTCTCTGTTCCTGCCAAGCAGCATGGCCTGGTTTCCAAGTTCTCCTCTTATTCCAAAGGATCTGTCCTAGTTTTTTTAATGCCACATCATTATCAATCAGTGAGATACATGAATCAAGCTATTCCAGAATTAGCCTGCAAAACTCATTAAGAGACAAAGCCAGCACACTGAGTTTTGAATTCTAATACAGATGGGGTTCTTGCCAGGTGTTGGGAAAATACTCTCTGTGCCTTTGAACACTGATAATTTAGAGTAATGAACATAGTGAATGTGGACTTCATAGGTGATTCTTCTTGTCCTCTTTCCATCTTTGAAACAAAAACTGAATTTGAAAAAGATCTCATAGGACTTTAGATAAATAATAAAGTAAAACCTTGATCAATGTTTGGCAAAAGCTGATCTAATTTTTGAGTAATGTTCAGCATCTGGTGGGAGTTTTTTCCCCCACTGAATTCTTCATAGGGTAAATATTTAAGTTGTTTTTCTACACTTAAGGCCAAATCTTATCCTGATCTTCTCCCAGAATAATGATTCGCCATGTTCTTAAGAGGAGTTCATGTAAATCATCCTGGCCAAAGGAAAAAAGAGGCTATATTCATCTATTTATTTAATAAGAATCTACTGAGAACTTACTGTGTAGCAGGCCCTTTTCTAGTTACTTGGAACAAAACAAAGGTTCCTGCCTTCATGCTTATTCTAGTGGAACCTGGCATATATAATATATGTTCAAAAAAGAAGAAATATATTCTTCTACCATGATAGAAGTTAATAAGTGCTGTGAAAAAAAATGCTGCAGGGTATGAGGAATTAAAAGTATCAAAGTAAGGATAAGGATATTAAGACCATCACAAAGACTCATTGAAAAGGTGACATTTCAGCAGAAATCCTGGGAATCAGGTAACTACACATATGTGCTTGCATACGTCATTTAGCCACAACTAATAGAAAATAAGGACATAAATCACCAGCAATGGACCACCCTGCTCCGATTACAAAATATATGGAGGCTTTCAGGTCTTTGGGAGACATGTTCCAGGCAACATTGATCAGAAGTATCAGCCTCCTGATAGCAGAGAGAAGCTCCTAAGATGCTCGAGGCTCGATAATCAACCTAAGATCACCCAGCACAAAGGTAAGGCTGGAATCCCACAGATATACATAATGGCTAAGAAAACGGGCCCAGAAGACAAAGTTTGTTCCAGACTTAGACTCAGGCATTTCTATTTGTGTGACCTTGTACAAGTTGCTTGACCTCAAGTCTCGGCCTCAACATCTAGACACTGACAATAACAGCTGCACATGCCCGCCTGAACTTAAAACAAAATTTGAAGGGAAAAAACCCTGAATATAAGATTATTCTCCTTTTTATCCAATATTGTTTATTTGTGCTAGAGGTTTGCCCCCTTAGTCTTTCTGATGGGCCAGAATTTGATTTTGTTAATATTTCCTTTTTTTTTTTTTTTTTTCATTTTCTGTTTATTTTCTTCCTTTTTCCTTTTACCTTCTTCCTTTCTCCCTTGTTCCCCTCATCTTCCCAGGGCCCCACCCCTGCTTTGTCTTTCTGTACCCCCTCTTTCTTTAGCTTACTCTATAGTAAATTCAATTTGTTTTGGTTCCTTCTCGTGTCTTAGAAAATATAACACACATTACAGAGGTTGGGGAGTGAAACGAGGACATGATGGTCAAAGGGTACAAACTTTCACTTAGACAGGAGGAATAAGTTCTTGAAATCTATAGTACAGCATAGTGACTATAGTTATTAATAATGTATATTTCAAAATTGTTAAGAGTACATTTTAAATGTCTCACCACAAAAAATGCTGAGATGACAGTTATGTTAATTAGCTTGCTTAATCATTCCAAATTTTACACATTTATGAAAACATCACATTGTACTGCATATATACAAGTTTTATTTGTCAATTAAAAATAATAAAAATACATGTATGATTGTAAAAAGAATAATAGCACAGCTGTGCTATGAGAAGAAAAAATATAATTTAAATTAATGGAAACAGCGTACTCTGCCTAGTAACATTCAGATGTTACTTTTTGTACTTTTATTACAGAGTAAGCAATTCATTTCCAAAATTATTATAAAAAGTATCTTTCAAACACTAGGTTTTTAAGTTGCTCCCAAATTTAATTTATTTCTACTTTTTTGCTGCCTAAAGTAAGACTCAGAGTGGGTCAGCTACTTTCCCAAGACCACGGTCAATAAACGGCACCAGTTCTTCTGGTTCCAAATTCACCGTGCTTTACATTAGCTTACACTACGGTCATCATTTTGGCCCAGGAAGTGGGATGCTCCTGCCCAGCCTCAGGCACCCCCAACTGCAGAAGCACAAATCAGGAGACCCATCTCATTCTACAATTGTTCTAAGAGACACTTTTAGGTTTCTGCTCTGGGAAAGGAGGAGGAAGCATTTTCCTATGGGGAGAGTGACATGGTCAGGGAATAGCAGTTGACTATGATAAGCCAGAGAGAGCATATGATAGGAAGGCTGGAAACAGCACCTGGAGGCCTGGATTCAAGTGTGGGTCCTGCCACTAAAGCAAGTATCTCCCATCTCTTGAGGTGCATCCTCATATAAAAAGACGGCACTAACAGACCTCAAATGCTGTATCCTGTTCTATAGCACTATGGTCTCTCTTCTCCTCTTAAAAGTCTAATGACAGAGGAAAAGAGTATCTATCAATATTAATGATGACATTAAGAAAGTATTCCTTGTGTGATAAATACTGTTCTAGGTATTTCATACAAACTGCCTCGTCTACTTCTCACAATACCCCAACACAGGACATATGTTTACTATCCCTATTTATAGACTGGGAAACAGGGGCTTGCAGAGATTCAGAAACTTGGTTTAGGTAAATTCCTAGGCAGGCATTTGGACTGTGGTCTGTCAGGCTCCAGGGTCATGTAGGCAGCCACTGTCTGATGGCTCATGATTACGGAAATGATGAAAGCTATTAATAATGCCCTGGAGTGAGCACCTTTCTATGCTCAGGACTTTTCTAGTGGCTTTACATATATTATCCTCTTACACTTGGGCAAGGAGGTAAGTAATATAAGTTAAATAAATTTTTTGGCAAATGACCCCAATTCTAAGTTGGAACCACTGCCCATGTTCTCTGTTTTGTAGCATCATTTTTATTATTCATGTCTTATCTGCAGAGATGGGAGGGTAGAAGAGATGCTCAGGGGTCTCATCAGAATCAAACTATAGTAAGGAACCTGCACCCCCTGAGGGCCATCATCTCCAGCACAGATTTAGGTTACAGGACAAAAGTCACGTGAACCATTCTTGCTTCCGGCTCATTACTGTCTGCCCACCTGTACTTTCCCTTTGCCCAGATCTCACTCCTCATTTTTAATTTACTGTATCTTGCTACATTATGCATTTTTATAAGCCACTTTAAATCTCCTTTGGAAAGAAGTATTGATGAATAAATAAATACAAAATAAAATTGCCCATTTGGCAGATGTCAGAATAATCAGCCCTCTCTGCATTAGACCAATAATAGTGTCGCCAGAGGACTTTGCCAAATGGGTTGTGGAAAGACAGTGCACAAACTGTGGTTCAACCTAAATCAGACTGATCTATGGATGACAGAAAAAGACAGATGCTCAAGGGAGAAAATGAAAACACTTAGGGAGGTCTCCAGGTCTATGCTACTACAGCCAGCTCCTGAAGTCTTTGCAAACCAAAATCCCAAAATAATGACCTAGGCTTTCCTTTTGAGACAGTGAAGAGCCTGAAGGGGGATTGGGAGAGGGTCTCTTAACTCACAGTACACTTTAATGTGATCCTTCTAAGCTTCAACTCTGCCCATTTTGCAATGGACAGAGGAATATTTTAAAGACTAAGGCTGCTGCTCAATGATCACTCATCTTCAGAGGAGCTAGAAAGTTTGGTTCTCGCCAAGAACAGTTGCACCTTGCCATGTGATACATCCCCTAAATTCCTAAACTGGTCAAGAATGATTTGTAATTCTAGAGAGAACCGCCAGTCAATTTCCCAGTGATTAAGATTAGGGAAAACAAACAGTATCTCCTCAAAATCTCCAGGCAGGGAGATGAACCATGAATCCGTTTGGTCTCAGAGGAAAATATTTGGTCCCAGGCAATTTGCATCA